CAGACAGCTCTCTAGGACCTCTCTCTATAGGACCTCTGTTTATAAGGTTACTAACTGAGGAAGGCTCCATTTTTGTGACTGCATTACCTTGGGTGAGGATTTCAACATATGAGGCTGAGATTCTGTGAGAGTAAGATGAAGGAAGCTGCAGGGGCATGAACCATATGGCTACAGACCAACTAACCTTAAAAGGCTGAGAACATTCTTTTTGGAATTCCATGAAAGTTTAATTTTTTTTTTTTTTTCAGAACTGGGGATTGAACTCAGGCCCTTGTGCTTTCCAGGGAAGTGCTTATTCCACTGAACTATCTCCCCGGCCCTAAAAAATTTAAACATAAAGATTTCTAGGCAGAAATATAAGGATGAGGCCCTACCACAATAATTTGTAGCAGGTCAAGTTGTCAGTATCTTCTAAGTGGACTGGAAGCACTTGACAGTGTAGGCATGAACACAGAATCAGTGAAGTCTGGGGGAAGGGATCCAGAGCTCGGCATTGTGGTAATGAGAGCAGACATTCAAGGGATGAATTAATTTCACGTCTTCCAGAAGCAGCAGAATTGAAAGAGCTAACTACTGAGTCCAGCCTTCACAGAGAGCCCAGGAAATCCATAGGGACTGGGAAGATGAGGAGCTAGAGGTGATAGGAGTGGCAAGAGAAGGCTGGGAACTAGAAGGTGTGCAGTAACCCTGGGCTTGGGGATTTCTCCTTTAATGGGACTCATTATTACTAGATCTCTACTCTGTTCATACAAGAAAGTGAAAAGACTCTATTTCTGGAAGTTTCTGGGCCATTGACACAAGAGTGTGCAAGGTGAGGCCAAAAGCCTACTGTCTTTCAAACATAGCTTAGCTTCTGTCCGTGACCAGGGGGAATCTATGAGGCCACTGCGCATGATCTGGGTACTCTGGACTCTGGCAAGGGCACTGCATGGTTGGCAAGCATCATCAGACTGTTTGAGTGGAAGCAACATCTCTCGAGCCCTGATCACATCAAGCATGAAGCTGGTGTGTTGGCCAAGATTTTCACTGACTGAGGAAGCTAATCCCAGATTATGGCATGGCTTGGCTGGCCTGATTGAGCTGAAAAATTCACCAAATATCCCCGGTTGTTGAGTAGTTTCCAAGGATTCTCCCATAGGCAGTAAACAGAGCGTTTCAGATAGATGCAGCTGTTATCCTACGTGTGTGCCTGCTGAGGTCATTATGCCTCGCTGCTTGCTGGTTCATCCAGTCAGTGGCAGAGTCCACATTTTCAGTTCAACCCTCCCAAAACTGTGGGCTTTGATAACCTGATGAGAGATTCCATTTCATTCTGTGAGTAATAAATTACAGTGGTCAGGAGACTGAGGGCTTTTGAAGCCCAGAACACCTGAAATGTTACCAGAGAAAAGGTTGCTGGAAATATTCTTTGGAACTGAAACCTGTAGGATCGTGTCTGTGGTTTCCTACAATGAAATTTCCACACACAAACCAGAAAGCCAGAGTTGCTGCCCAAGGATGAAGGCATGTAACTAGATAAATGAGCAGAAACTCCTGCGCTTTCATTTAGCAGCTTTTTCCTAAGACTGTAGCATGTATGAGTTTCTTGAAAAACAATTTTCGTTGATGTTTTGTGTTTGAGATAGGGCCTTGAACTCATTGTGTAGCCCAGTCTGGCCCTAAACCCATGGTGATCCTCCTGCTTCTGCCTTCCGAATGCTAGGGTTCAGCCATGCACAACCATGCCTTGTTGAAATTATTTTGTGTCTGCTGACTTTCTCTTTATCCTGGATATTATTGTGGATATACTGAATACATCAGATTTGAAGATTGATCTTTTGGAATCACCTTGTATGTTTTATCACCTGGGCACTGGGTGCTGGCCTGTTCACAGTTCTCTTTTATAGATGTGCAACTCAAAACACCAGCTATGTTGAACCCTAATGTTAGAGCAAAATTTTTTAAAAATTTAGTAATAGGGGCCGGGGAGATGGCTCAGTAGTGTAAGTTCTTCCACAAGGGCCTGAGTTCAATCCCTGGTTCTTAAAAAAAAAATTAGTAATAATCTAGCTATTTATTCAGCAACTTTTTTTTTTTTAAACCAGGTATCAAACTCTGGACTTTGTGCTTACCAGGCAGGCTCTTAAGCCATTGAGCTGTCTCCCTGGCCCAGTTCAGCAACATTTAAAAAAAGATCTTTTATTTTTTTCTTCAGAACAGGGTCTTGCTATAGAGCTTGAACTCTTAGTGACCCTTCTGTCTCAATATCCCCAGCACTGGGGTCACAGGTGTGTGCCACCATGTCCAGTTTGGGTGCTGGTATGGCCCTCCTGCGGTTCTGGGGCTGGCACACTATGTGGTATCAGGGATCGAACCTGAATCCTTGTGCTCTCCAGGCAGGCACTTAGACCACTGAGCCATTTCTCTGGCCCAAGCAACATTTAATAAAACAAATTTTTATACTTTTCTGGGAAAATTAAATAATTACTTAATATTTGGGGGAAAATCTCATCAGAGGCTTTTCCACAAGGTGGTGGGGAAAGAAAAAGACATTTTCTAGTCCCATGCACCATAATTTTGTGTGACACTATATCTATAAAATAGTTTCCTGACATAATATTACAGAGAAAGAGCTGAATTTACAGATTTGTTGCAAAATAGGAATTCCCTGCTACCTCTAGAGTAGTAAACATATGCACTGACCACATACACGATTGTGTTGTTAGACATTCTTTTCATTTACTCAGAAGTTTTAATTTGCTATATAATATATCAGTAAGCATATAAGAAACTACTATTTTATTACTTTATTTTTTGAAAATACATGTATACTGTGGGAGGTAATTAGATCAGCACTAGCCCTGAGTGCATTTTCACTGACACTGTAATAAAACCTTAGGTTTTCAGATGTTATTATAGTCAAGAAATATATGTTAGGTCTTAGTTGATAATTTGTCTTGATAAGCAAAAAGTTATAAAGTAAAAATAAAAAATAAGAGAAAACCAATGGCATTATGTAAGGTAAGTGTATTTCATCCTCAAGAAAACAGATGTAGATCAGGCCTGCCTGGGTGCTGGGGTGCAGGATCAAGAATGCGCTCCAATGGCCTCCATACTCCCAGGCAGGCTGTAGAAGGTGACTGAATCTCAGAGTGAAACTGCTGATTCACTATGGGCAGGCTGGGCCTGGAGCCCAGAGACCAGCACTGGGCCACCCAGGAAGGCTATGTCTCTTGTGGATTCTCCTTTTGTGCTGCACCTGGCTACCCTGATGTGAGTGGCTTTTCTCTGCCCAGGCTCTTCTACCATCCTGTGTGTGGTTTAAGCCTGCACTGGAATTTCTGAAACCATGAGGCAAGATAAACCTGTCCTCCTTTAAGAATAGAGTGCCAGGTATTGTGCCTCAGCCAGGAGGAGATGGGCAGAGACACTGGAGGATCCTGTCATAAATGTTCTTGGGACATAAATGCAGTCATAATTAGTAAATACATTTATCAATAAAAAGGATAGGCATGATAGATTACAAAGGACTTGGAAAATAGAGTTCTTAAAGAGATCTTTACTTCTACTCAAAGAAATTGGTACCTGCTGGTGTCCCTGCCTCCCTTCCAGCTCTCTGTAGCCCTCTGCACCTCCTGGCATCCCGTCCTGGCTCAGGCACCGAGCTCTCCTCTCACCCTTACACCTCTGCTCTGGTCTTGAGGACAAGAGCTCTTCTGCTATCATCTGAGTGGCCGTGTTAAAGCCTAGGTTATTGCAGTTTCCTCAGTAAGACAACCAGCGTGCATGTGTGTGTATTGTTGCCTGGTAGAAGTGGGACAGTCTGAGAAGGGGGGAAAATTCAACTGTTTCTTCCATAGGTTGCTTTCTTCTATTTTATGTGGTGCCAAAACTTACACAAGCTGTTGTTAACTGCCTTTGAGAACCTGGCCCAGTGTTCTTTGCATTTAAAATGCATATTAGTCCTTATGTGTTGGGGAGGCTTTTACTTTCCTTTTCATCTGATTTTTAAAAATTCATTATTGATATTTCACAATTGATCAAAGCTTATTAAAAAGGATTGTAGGGGGCTGGAGAGATGGCTCAGTGGTCTAAAGCACCTACTTAGAACAAGCTTAGCAAAGCATCAGGGACCGCGGTTCAATCCCCCAGCACCACATGCCAGCCAGCCCCGCCCCCTGGTGGGCTGAGCTGGCCACACACACACACCTCCCTCTCTCTCTCTCTCTCTCTCTCTCTCTCAAAAAAAAAAAAAAAAAAAAAAAAAAAAAAAAAAAAAAAAAGGATTGTAGGGGCTGGGGAGATGGCTCAGTAGAATAAGTGCTTCCCTGGTAAGCGCAAGGGCCTGAGTTCAATCCCCGGTTAAAGATTGTAGTCATCAGTTCAGTCTCTTATTTATATGACTATATTTTGTGCTTTCTAAAAAATGTGATGTGTATTCTATAAAATCAATTTCTATATTAAAAGAATAGGATAGATATACAGCTACTTTTGCTTAATTCAATGAGAACAAAGAGGTGTAGTAATAGTGTTTGGACAGGATATCTTGTCTGCTTCTTGTACTATGGATTACCACTAAGAAGATAACAGTGTACAATGTATTGATTATTGAAACTGTCCTATTATTCAGCTTTGAAACTGTCTCATTCATATTTATTTCTCAATAAAATAAATTAAAAAAAAGAAAAATAAATAAAAAATGTGATGTGCCCAACTTACAAATTACCATTAGGCTATCAGGGACACATTAGCTTCTTGTAGGCCCTACTAAAATTTAAGCACTGTGGCTAAGAAAGAGAGAGAGAGAGAGAGAGAGAGAGAGAGAGAGAGAGGGTTTTCTGTATTTTGTCATAGGATATTTAGAAAGGACCCTTGAAAACACAAGAAGAAAAGCAAAACCAGAGCACAGGATGCGGGGAGGTGCAGAGGGCTGCTGAGGGTTGGATGTCACAGCTCTCTGTGAGCCACCTGGGGCCTCTGAGTTGCACAATAGCTTCTGAATTGATACTTGGATTTCCTAGGGCCGTGGCCCTGTGCTGATGATGGTGTACACGTCGAGAAGCTTTGACACGTGGGGTGAGATCCGCCGCATTCAGGATGCACACAGTGAGTTCAATTAGCTCCTGTCTTGGGAAAACACACAGTGCAGATAGCACAGCCTATTTCTTTTGCTGACTGAGCACTTGAGGTTGAGGGGGCAAGGCTCCTAGATGTTAAAGCTACGTAACGTGTGGCCACATGGACAGCTCACACAGCTGTGGGAGGAAGAAGACCACAGAGAGGGAATGCCCAGAAGTCTTGTAACTGAAATTTATGTTTCAGCTGTTGCCCTTGTGATTATTTTACTGAGGCTATAAAAGTAATTAGAATGGGCTGTTCTATCAAATAGGGAAACTTAATGAAGGTGTGTTGGACGAAAATAGAAAAGTTATCTTACCCCAGAATAGCTGATTTTAATTCTGCAGTCCTCCCTGGAGAATTGATAGTCATTAAAATGGAATTTGAAGGCGAGTGTGGTGATCTTCGCCTGCAATCCCAGCACTCTGAGAAGCTGAGGTTGTAAATTTGAACCCAGCCTGAGCAACTTAGTGAGATGGTGTCTCAAAATAAAAATAACAAGGTTGTGGGGACGTAGCTTTATAGTGCAGAGACTCTGTGTTCAATCCCCAGTACCACACACACACACACACACACACACACACACACACGAGTTTGAAGGTAAATTTCTGGTGCATAATTTCAGATCAGTAACTGTCAGAAATTAGTGGATGCCTTCAAACATTAAACTGTCCTTATAATACCTAAGAACAAAGGTCTGAGCAAATATTTCATATGCTAGCATTTGCATGCTAGCAAAACCTCTCCCAAATGGGAAACTCAGAGGATTAAGTAACAAGTGACCTTAGATTATAGACATGAACCTGGGAATAACATCACCAGTCTTCTGGGCCTGAGAAGGATCTGGGCCATCTCCCATAATTTCTGGGCATGAGATCATGGTAGAGTTTGAGCATTTTGCTGTGGTGATGTGAAAATCCATTGAGGAGCTATGAATTCTCTCAAATGCTAATACCTTCCCCTGCTCCTTCTTTTTCCGTGCAGTGCTAAGGAAGGATGTGCTTGAAATGTTCAAGCTTAGGTTCTCCCTCAACTTTTACATGTTCCATGGCGGTACGAACTTTGGCTTCATGAGTGGAGCTGAGGCCTTGGACATTTACCTCCCAGCAGTCACCAGCTATGGCAAGTACTTGCCCCCAGAACTGTCTCCACCCACAACCACGGCATCACTGAAGCCTGGAGCTTCTTAGGATAGATAGGCCCTTGAGTACAGTCTCTGGCACTGCTCATCTTTTTTGCCATGAATATGTACTGGGGATTGAGTTTCTCTCTCTCTTCTCTTTTCTCTCTCTCTCTCTCCCTCTCTCTCTCTCCCTCCCTCCCTCCCTCTCTCCCTCTCTCCCTCTCTCCCTCTCTCCCTCTCTCTCTCTCCCTCCCTCCCTCCCTCTCTCCCTTTCTCCCTCTCTCCCTCTGTGTGTGTGTGTGTGTGTGTGTGTGTGTGTGTGTCTGTCTGTCTGTCTGTCTGTCTCTCTTCAGTGCTGGTATTTATCCATTACTAGAATTAGGATTTCTGGGGCTTTGGAGGCAAAGCAGTTAACAACTTAGTTTTGTTCATCTGCCCTGCACACCTGCAGAAGTTCACTGCAGAAGCAACTGCTTTAGGGCTTCTGACCACATCAGGTATGCGCCTGTGTCTCCTTGGTAGACAAATGTAAGAGACCACAGGGGAAATCAAGGGTGAATGAGTAAAGGGAGTTCACTTCAAAATGGGAAAGGAAGAAGAAACCATTGGATTAGAGACCTTGGGCTCTTTTGGGGATTATTAGAGAACCACGAGTTGCGATAACTTGACTTCTATTGAAGGTCTTCCTAAACTTGACAGAGGTTGCTTGGTTGGATTAACAGGAACAGGAAATTTCCTTATCTGATGTACACATTTTCCCTCCAAAACTGCTTTATTAGAGCTCTTTTGGCTTTTATTAAGTTGGCTTCTCTTGGGAAAATAATTTGAGGCAAGGATTTCCCAGGAAACTGACAAATTTCTCTGTACTTTCCAGACTATGGGGCACTGCTGACAGAGGATGGAAGCTACACGCCTGAGTATATCGTACTACGGGAGCTTCTTCAATCTGTTACAGGTATTCAGTGAGGACTTCTGTAGGGAGTTTTTGGTCTATAGGTGGTCCCTCAGAGAAAATGGTGAGGAGATTTAGAAAATAAAGACAAGTGATAACACCTGAGGTCAGGTGGTGGACCATGGCTGATTGGCAAAAGACCTGAAGAGCAATAGTAGAGGCATTTATTTACACCTTTGCAAAGTTATTAGACAAAAAATTGCCTAGTCACTAAAGCCAGCAATGTCCAAGCAGGATATTTTACTCAACATTGAGGTAGCTTGACTTCTTTAGGCAGTGAGGCCTTGTCTTGCCCTCTTACATATGGTCCATTTTGAGCTTTAGTGGCTCCCAGCAAACTTCAGTCTGACTAGTGACTTAGCCTTCCCATGTAGTCTCTGTTGATGAAGAAAGGAGAGAGGAAGCCGGGGGAGAAGTCTTGGGATGGAGTCTAGCTTGCTCCCATGTACTTTATCACTGGGCACTGGAAATGCTTAGGGTGCAGTCTCCCCTGGAGGGGCTCAGCATAGGATCACACTGCTTGTTCTTTCCTGGGCATGCAATCATCTATAGCACTTGTACAATCCAGAGGTTCCAGGAAGGAAGGGGTAGATTCTGAGGGCCAGAGTTGAGAGCTGCTGGTCCTGCAAGTAGGACTGATGTGCTCCTCCTTTGCCAGGGTAGCAGGGCCCTGCCTTGGAGCTGATGGGTATGAGTCTTCCTTGACTCTTCCTGTAATTCAGAACTGGGCTCTCATTCTGGTGGCAGTGGGATAGCAAGGAACTTTGTGTCCTTGGATAGGCCTGGTCAAGGGTTTTGGGATCATTTAACCATGTGCCTTTCACAACAGATGTCCCTCCAAGCCTCCCACCAGAACAAATATCAAAGGTTGCCTACAAGTCAGTGACGCGATTACACTTCATGTCCCTGTGGGATATCCTGCCCTACTTGGGCAAGGTGAGCATTTCGTGGGCATATACATGTGGGAAAGGTTTTAGAAAAGAAAATGAAAGGCCTAGTTCAAGGAACATAGAACTAACATAAGTTAGTTCTGAAAACTTGCTCTGTGAAACTAAATGTTAGTTTCTTATCTCAGATTTACAATTCAGAATAGCAAACTTAGAATACAAATTTAGAATAGACAATTGAATTTGAAGATATTGTATACATATTGCAGAATATTGGGGATTTCTCTCTTATAAATTCACTGGCCAGGGGTTCTTTGCTTTCTGAAGTCAGTGAAGTACTCTGGATCTAAGGGAAAGATTTTTAAACTTTTGCTTTAATAGAAGGCCTCTTTCTCTAATCTTGCTGTTAAATTCAGTATGCAAGACAGAAATCAGGCATGGTAGTTCTGTAACTACTTTTCTCCTCTCTAAGGACCAGCTCTGCCTTCTCCAAAATGGTCCCAGTTCTAACTTAGCCCTAGGGTTCTGAGAAACAGTTTAGAAAACTCTTGGTCTAGGTCTAGGGGAAAACTTGATCTATGACATTCACTGAATTAATAATATTTTGGGAACTGTATTATCAAGATGTTTTAGGCAAACCAGTCTTCTGAGAAGGAGCAGCAAATAAAAAGATTGGAGGATCATTGGTCAAGGAAGCAGGAAGCCATGCTAAAGAGTGCGTGCTCCTGAGTTACTGTCAGGCTCTGAACCTTCACTCTGATACTTACCTGCTTTGCAGCCTCACAGAGGTCATTTAACTGCACTCTACCTAAGTTTCCTCACCTGTAACAAGAGGCTAATTGCATCATCCTCACTGAATTATGTGAATTAAATAGCTGATATGTGTGACTAGCACATATGGGTCTAACTTGGTGTGGGCTCTCATCATTGTTATAGAGACATTTTTAACAGGATGGACAGTTGGGGTACCAATAGGTGATTCAGGGGTCCAGAGGGTGGCCAGGAGCTAATGTAGTAGCACTTACAGGGGAGGACTCAAGAGCTCTAACATCATTCGTGGTTGCCCAAAATTGCTCAGCAGCTTTTTTTAAAAATGCATTTGATATGGGGTCTCACTATGCAGCTCAAACTCATAGTGATTCTCCTGTTTTCACCCTCCCCAGCACTGGGATTCCAGGCGTGTGCCACCACGTCTGGTCTCAGTTGCCAGCTCAGCATGCCTGGGGATGGGACTAGTGCAGCATGTGGTGCTGGGGATCGAATCCAGGTCTCTGAATTTAATAGCTTTTTAGGGTTTGGGCCTAATTGGATGAATCAGGTCACTGGAATGTGTCATCAATGGTTGCATTTGGCCATAGACCTTTCCTTCTGGTCTACCTTCCTCTCTCCCTCCCCCCGTCTTTGTCTCTGTCTGTCT